AATAAAATTCTCGAATTCAATATTCAGTCCTAACACTTATCAACCTTATATAGAGCTAGCTGTCAAAGTACACCTGAGTTTGATTCACTTTGACTCCTAAGATCAAGATCTACTCATCTATACTCTATGTAGTCAGCTGACATTCAATACTTATTCTGCTTGCACTTTAGTGTATTTAAGCTACGACTTTCATTAGAGTTTCAATTCCCCGTTTCAAAATTTCATTTAGCAACGGTCTCTTTGGCGTGTGGTTGGGAACAGTCTGCTGGCAAGCAACAGCAACCATTAGGCACACACACACACACAAACACACATATAGACTTCTACGTTTGCAGACACACCCTCCACACAGCCTCTCGCACATTGACACACCTTGAAGCGTTGCAAATGGGCCAAAAAGTTTGTGAACAATTTTGGTTCATCCCCTGGTTTGTTTTTTCTACTTTTTAATAATATTTTTTCTTAAATATGTGCAACATCTTAAAATTGAATATTTTCATTAAAAGTTAAAAGCTTCATATCGATGGCAGGCGCGGCTGTCAAGTGAGCCGCAAAATGGCTGCACACAAACACACACACACACACACACAGGTAGACAGACAGATAGACAGCGCGTTCCGTTAAGAACCAATAAATAAACTTTGAAAGTGCTCGCAAGTGTAGAGACAGCTTCTATGCCTTCTCCATCAAATTTTTTGTCCCCACTTGCCTCTCTCCTCCTCGCTCCTCTGGCAGCAACTAAACTAATTTACAGAAGCTTCAGGAGCAGCGCCGTAAACGCACGTGTTGCGTACTGCTGAAGCTTTACCGCTCTATAATGCTCCGGCATCATAATCATAATCAGAGCTGCGTTCATCATCGCCAAAGCTGCGGAACGTCACTAATATGCTACGCTCTAAAAAACAACTCCAAAAACAAAAACAAAAAACTCCCGTCTGTAAAGCCCGAGGCGAGGTCCTCGCCTTCCCCTGCACCGGCTATACGCCTGTTTTGCTTTGTTAAAAGGATTTTCACGGATTTCCGTTGTAATTTGAAAAGTTTTTGTGCAACTTTTTTCATTTACAAAACAGGTTCCGCCGTCGGATTGGGTTAGGCAGGTATTCGGTGGGGCTGTGGGGTGCCGTTGCCTGTTTAGTTTTCAAGTAGCTGCCAAGAGCAGGCGATCGGCGCTACAAACAGGTGTTAATTGTTAATTGTTTTGAAGCCAATTTACCAGAAATAAATGAAATTCTTTGCCCAGGCAAGCAAAAAAGAAAATAAAACGAAATGGAAGTCAAATTATAATTAAACTGTTCCCAAAGCG